ACACACACACACACACACACACACACAACAACAACACATCCCCCAGCTCTCACCTCCTTGCCCATGACATCCACCTGGTTCTGCAGCACGTCCACCACACGAGTCAGGTTAGTCACCTTCTGCTCCAGCACGCCGATCACCAGCTTCTGCTGGACCTCCTGGACACAGACCACACACAGGTTATGTTTGTTCCGAGTAAAACAAAAGTACATCGACTAAATACAGGCCATTCTATGTAGGGAAAACGTAAAACAGAAAGACACAGCAGAGGGGAATAAAATAACCGCCATTTAAAGTAGGGAAACGGTTAGACAGACAGACACACAGACAAAACAAAGAGAAAGAAAAGAAGTAGATTCTCCCACAGTGAAAAATGGACAAGGAAAGAAGACAAAGAATAAACACAAAGGCTACCCCTATCACTGTTTTTTAAATTTCTTCCAGTTTAAATAAATTTATAAACAGAAGCAAATCGACATAACCAACAACAGTCCGTTAACGCTGGGAGAAAAAAAACACGGCAAACAGACACAAACAAAAGGAAAGGGTAGGTAGAAAAGAAGTAGCAAGCACAAGCCAGTGTCGGTGGCCTAGTGGTTAGGCTACCAGACTCGTAATCGTGAGGTTGCGGGTTCAGGGGTTCAAGCTGCGGGCCTGACGCAGTGTTCCTGGGAAAGGCATTTTACACGAATTTTCCTCACTTCACCCAGATGGGAATAGGTACCCGGCCATTGACAGCGAAAGATCTTGTTATTATGTAAGTGTTTTAGCACCTATAAATGGCCGCTTGCACAGCATGCTTCCCAGGAAGTTGAGGTTGTTTCAGAAAGCTCTCAGGTCTGCTGGGGTAATAGTATAGATTGTGAAGCGCATAGAGCTTGCTGTTGAGCGGGATTTGCGATATACAAAAGCCATCTATTATTATTATATCCCCATTGGTGTGAGAAAAACAACAAAACCCGCACCTTCTCCTCTGTCTGCGTGACGTGGGAGTTGAGTCGACTGATGGTCTTGTTGAGCAGCCTCATCATGTCCTCGCTCTGCTGCTTGAAGGCCCGGCTCAGCTCCTCCAGGTACCTGTGGTGGTTTAGTTTAGTTTTAATAAGAGTTTTACGGCTCTCGCAACACAATAAGGTCATATAAGTGTCGAAGATTAGAGGTGTAAACAAGAGTGTAACAAACACACACAAAAAAGGAGAGATAAGGACGATAGATGTTTGATAGGAAAGAAGGAGCAAACCACACAAGAGCACCTGCCAACCACCCACGGTGGGTGGGTGGTTTTGGGGGTGGTGAGTGGGATTTAAAGGGGAAAGGGGGGAGGGGGGTTCAGGGG